ACAAAAATTGGCCGGGCGCGGTGGCTCAAGCCTGTAATCCCAGCACTTTGGGAGGCCGAGACGGGCGGATCACGAGGTCAGGAGATCGAGACCATCCTGGCTAACACTGTGAAACCCCGTCTCTACGAAAAAATACAAAAAACTAGCCGGGCGAGGTGGCGGGCGCCTGTAGTCCCAGCTACTCGGGAGGCTGAGGCAGGAGAATGGCATAAACCCGGGAGGCGGAGCTTGCAGGGAACTGAGATCCGGCCACTGCACTCCAGCTCGGGTGACAGAGCGATACTCCGTCTCAAAAAAAAAAAAAAAAAAAAAAAAAAAAAAAAATTAGCTGGGCGTGGTGGCGGGCACCTGTAATCCCAGCTACTTGGGAGGCTGAGGCAGGAGAATCGCTTGAGCCCGGGAGGCAGAGGTTGTAGTGAACTGAGATCGCGCCACTGCACTCCAGTCTGGGCAACAGAGCCAGATCCTGTCTAAAAAAGCAAAACAAAACAGCAACAAAACCCCCAGGAGTTCCTGTACCCACATTCTAGTGGGGAAGACAGGAAGCAAATTAACAAACATCTAATAACTATTTTAAAAAGCCAGATATACGATATTTCACGTGGATGACCCGATTGACCTGCTGCGGGTCAGGTAAACAGACTTCCGGTTCGCATCCTCAGCTTGGTCTTGGAGCTGGGGAAATATGCTAGACGGTTCCCCGCTTCAGCCACCAGAGGGCGCGCCCTCCCCGTGTGTCGTCTTTAGCGCACTTTTTCTCCCGCTGCTGTCAGTCACAGGGCAGCCCCTTAGCGGAACAGAGATCCTGTTCTGTGATGTTCCTGGGGGCCTGCCTCTCCCAGGGAGTAACGGGCTCCTATGAACAGTAATAGCAACCATAATGTAGAGACTAAGAGCAAAGAGTTAGTGAGTTTTATGCTGATGTCCAAAGTCATAGGGCATTTCATTTTTCTTTTTTTCCTTTCCTTTAAAAAAATTGGCTGGGCATGGTGGCTCACACCTATAATCCCAGCTCTTTGGGAGGCCGAGGCGGGTGGATCACCCGAGGTCAGGAGTTCGAGACCAGCATGGCCAACATGATGAAACCCCCGTCTCTACTAAAAATATAAAAAATTAGCTGGCTATGGTGGTGGGCGCCTGTAATCCCAGCTATTCAGGAGGCTGAGGCAGGAGAATCACTTGAACCCGGGAGGTGGAGGTTGCAATGAGCCGAGATCGCACCACTGCACTCCAGCCTGGGCAATAAGAGCAAAACTGTGTCTTTAAAAAAAAAAAAAAAAAAAAAAAAGGCGATTGGGTCGTGAGAGCTCTGTTCTCATAAATAAATTAATACATTCGTGAATTAATAGGTTAATAGATTAATGGGTTATCATGGTGGTAGGACTGGTGGCTTTATAAGAAGAAGAAGAGAGAGTAGCTAGCATCCTCAGCCCCCTCGCCATGGGATGCCGCATGCTGCCTTGACACCCTGTAGCGTCCCCACTAGCAAGAAGGCTCTCATCAGAAGCACCCCACACGGTGGCTCAAGCCTGTAATCCCAGCACTTTGGGAGGCCGAGACGGGCGGATCACGAGGTCAGGAGATGGAGACCATCCTGGCTAACACGGTGAAACCCTGTCTCTACCAAAAAAAAAAAAAATACAAAAAACTAGCCGGGCGAGGTGGCAGGCGCCTGTAGTCCCAGCTACTCGGGAGGCTGAGGCAGGAGAATGGCGTGAACCCGGGAGGCGGAGCTTGCAGTGAGCTGAGATCCGGCCACTGCACTCCAGCCTGGGCGACAAAGCGAGACTCCGTCTCAAAAAAAAAAAAAAAAAAAAAAAAGAGAAAGAAAAAAAGAAGCACCCCACAGTTTCAGCCTCAGAACTGTAGGAAATAAATTTTGTTTCTTTATAAGTTACCCAGTTTCAGGTATTCTGTTATAAGCAACAAAAAATGGACTAAGACAGGAATATTACTGGGTTAAGAAACAAAAAAAGAACTATTGATACATGCAACAATCTGGATAAATCTCAAGGGCATTATGCTAAGTGAATAAAAGTCAATCTCAAAAGATTTCATACTATGTAATTCCAATTATATAACTTTTTTTTTTTTTTTTTTTAAATGGAGTCTTACTCTGTCACCCAGGCTGGAGTGCTGTGGCATAATCTTGGCTCACTCTTCATGCAACCTCTGCCTCCCAGATTCAAGCAATCTCCTTGCCTCAGCCTCCCAAGTAGCTGGGATTACAGGAGTGCACTACCACACCCGGGTAATTTTTGTATTTTTAGTAGAGGTGAGGTTTCACCATTTTGGCCAGTCTGGTTTTGAACTCCTGACTTCAGGTGATCCACCCGCCTTGACCTCCCAAAGTGCTGTGATTACAGGCGTGAGCCACAGCGCCTGGCCTATATAAAATTCTTACAATGAGAAAACAACAGAGATGGAGAACAGATTGGTAGTTGCAAAGGGACAGATATAGTGTGTTTGTGTATGTATGTGTGCGCATGCCACTATAGTGGTAACACAGGGGAATTCCTTTGTGGGTCTATATCTTGATTGTGGTGGTGTATATACAAATATTTACATGGATCAAATTGTATAGAAACACACATGCATGCGTATGCACACACATACACAGGAATGCATGTAAAACTGGTGAATACTGAATAAAGTCCTCTGTAATCTAGTTAACAGTAATGTACCCATGTCACTTTCCTGGTTTTGATATTATGCTGTGATTATATAAGATGTTCCCATGTGGGAATACTGGATGAATGTTACATGGGACTATATGTACTATTTAATTTCCTGTGAGTCTGTAAGAGTTCAACACAAAAAGTAATTACAAAAGTAGAAAAGAAAAGGTGCTGGTGATGACAAGGTTGTTGGGAAAAGGGCTTGTGGGGTGCCTGCATAAACTGGCCATAAAAATATGGGACAATAAGTTGTGGAAAGTCACAGGAGGCCTCTGATGAGGAAAGCCTTCTAATTGCCATCACGTTCCCATGACCAGAGCGTGACCTGCTCTCTTATTACAGACACTGGGCTTAAGGAGAAAGACACTCCTTTGAAGCATTGGAATATGGCCAGATCTGCCGGCTCCTAGTTACGCGCACTCCCCACAGCTGCTCTCTGATAAGTTAGAGAATAAATCAGTAGTTGAGTTTATGCTGCTTTAGCACAAACAACATTTGCCTAAACCGTCACTGCTATAGATTAGGTCTATGACACACTGCCCCCCTTTCACTGTTTCACCCCTGATCTAAGATCTGCTTCTTAGATGGAAGTGATTGTACTCAATAAATAGTGTGGAGACCAGAGCTTGGCGCCTTTTGCAGCCTCCAAAAGTGCAGTGGGCCCCCTGGCACCCCACCCTTTAGGCACTGTTAACCTGTCTCTTCTCATTCCTTCGTCACCACCGGACTTTGGGTACCCTACGGGTGGTGTTGAGGCTGGTCGCAACACAAGGTGACAGCGGCCATCCCACTCCATTGGCAACCGTGGTGATAAGCACTGGTTTAAAATGGGCTGAATTGAAAGCTGTTACTCTTGCCTTAGTCCAGGGATTGGAAAACTTTTTCTATAAGCACCAGGTAGTAAATATTTTAGGCTTTATGGGCGATGTATAATCTCTGTTGCATATTCATTTCTCCCTCTGTGTGTCTATGTGTCTGTGTGTCTATGTGTGCTTTAAAATGTTTTATACATGTAAAAAACCATTATTAACCCATTGGCTGTTTGAAACAGGCCAGGTATAGTGTGTGTGTGTGTGTGTGTGCGTGCGCATGCACACAGGTCAGATTTGGTCTGTGGGTTATATTTACCAACCCCTGCTGTATACAGTATTTCTAAAGGCTGGACATGTTACGTCTTCTGACTCTGGAGTTGTTGCCAATGTCTTAGCCACCTGTTCTGCCACTTGGAAGACTATAGACCAGCAGACTAAAGACATCTCTTTATAAGGATGTGAATTCTGGAAATTCAATCACAGCTGTAAGGGAAACTTCTAAATCCATTAGCAGCCGTGATTCATTGTTCATGTCGATGCTGATAGTAATGATGGCAGCGGTGGCCCATCTGGAGCTGCCACTGCTATCATGTGGGCTGCAGCGGGGAGGCACAGCTGGGGCTGCACACTCCACTAGATGGTCGGAGCTCGGACAAGTGGGAGCCCTGCCCCTTCCAAGTTGGTGGGTCAGGAGCTCCCCCGGTCCTGCTGCAGCCACCCAAGTCATGGCTGTGGACCCAGGTCTCCTGCTTCATGGGGCAGGCAGAAACCCCACCCTCCCAGGTGCAGCTGCAGCTGCCCAAGTCGTGGCTGCAGACCTGGGGGTGCCACTGCATGGAGGAGGCCAGGGCCCCACCCCACCAGGCATAGCTGCAGCCGCCCAAGTCGTGGCTGCAGACCTGGGGGTGCCACTGCATGGAGGAGGCCAGAGCCCCACCCCACCAGGCGTAGCTGCAGCCGCCCAAGCCGTGGCTGCAGACCCAGGCATCTCTGCACTCTTAGGGGCCTGGGAAGGCACTCCCTGGCCTCACAGGCTTAGGATTGCCTCCTCCTGCTGCCTGGCTTCTCCCTGCTGTCAGCATCCACTGCAATCTTAGAGCAAAGTTGAGGCCAAACCTAGGCACTGTCACAGCCTGGCTAGGTGTGTACATGCCTGGGGCAGTGCTGACACACGAGCCACCTGCCACAGCCCCCTCCGGACTTTGGGCACTGATGAGCATAGGAGGAAAGCTGAGGGGGTGCTGAGGGCAGGTTGGTACTGGCCTGCAGGCCCCTTGGCATAAGCAGCCTGGGCACCACGGATGGCAGCAGGAGGCAGACAGGCTCCTGGGCAGAAGGGGGGCAGGTCCTGGTGAGGCCCCACCTAGAGGCCAGGGAGAGACTGAAGGCTGGGGACTGGGCTACCAGTCCCAGGACCAGAGGAGGAACCTGTGGTGCCTTTTCGGGGCCTATTCACGGCCACCTGTGGAGTAATCAGCATGCACTTCTTCCCCTCTGTGGCCCATAAAAGCCCCAGGCTCAACCAGAGCAGGGTGGATGATGAGACAACCAGCGGCAGAGAGGAGCTATACCTTCTGCTGAGAACTGAAGACCATGGGATAACCAACTGCAGAGAAGAGCTACCCTCTCTGCTGAGAGCTGGAGCAGATGATGGGATGACCAGCTGCAGAGAGGAGCTACCCTTTCTACTGGGAGCTGGACACTTGTTGGGATGACCTGCATGCAGAGAGGGGCTGCCTGCTGCAGGAGACTGAGCTGTTCTATTGCTCAATAAAGCTCTCTTTATCTTACTCACCCTTCACTTATCTGTGTGCCTCATTCTTCCTGGTCGCAGGACAAGAACTTAGGACCCACTAAATGGGAGGCTGAAAGAGCTGTAACACAAAACAGGACTGAAACATGCCCCTTGCTCACCACGTTGCAGGCAAAGAGAAGGAGAGAAGAGCTGTGGCCCTTCAGAGAGCCCAGACCTGGGAGCTCCCTGAGCCAGGGATACCAGGGCTATGACTCCCTCTTGTGGCCCCTGCAACTCCTGGTGTCTCCAAGCATCTGGATGCTACCACATTCCCCAGCTCCAGCCAGGGAAGCTGCCTGTAAGGCACCGGGTCCAGCCACAGCCTCGCAGAGAGCTGGCACCATGCTGGCACTGGGAGCTGCCCGCCCTGTGGCAGCAACTAGCATGTCTGACTGCGCAGTGGCTGGACCCCATGCTTGCTCACACACCCCTCGCAGTCTCCCTTGGAGGCATGGGATCCAGGCCAGTAGTGTGAGCTGAGTGCAGCCTGCCAGGCTGAGTGGGCAGAATGAGCTGAGGGATCAAGCAAAACTCGGGCAAAGGTGCCAGCAGCCATGGGTTTCTGGTCAGAAAAGCAGCACTCCAAAGATCCCGTAACAGTAAGGACCCATTCTCGGATGTGACTGACTGGAATCAAGCTACTGATCAAATCTGCACAACCTTCATTGCTGTCACGGCCATCCGGATCCATCATTGCAACACACTGATTTTATGGCCATGCAAGGAGAGCAACCCTAGCATCTGGGGAGAGAACGCCACATGCTCGTGAGGCACGGGGAGGGGAAAACAGTGCTCTGTTTGCCCCCCAGATTCAGCACTGCAGCCCGAATCAAGTAACAGCTGCTGCTGGCTTTGCGACCCCCAACCTACATGCTATGAAAACAGAGAAACTCATGTTTTTCTTTCTTATTTATTTATGTATTTATTTATTTATTTATTGTTTTTGAGATGGAGTCTCGCTCTGTCAGCCACACTGGAGTGCAATGGTGCAATCTCAGCTCACTGCAACCTCCACCTCCCAGATTTAAGCAATTCTCCTGTCTCAGCCAACTGAGTAGCTGGGATTACAGGTGTGAGCCACCACACCCAGCTAATTTTTGTATTTTTAGTAGAGATGGGGTTTCACCATGTTGGTCAGGCTGGTCTTGAACTCCTGACCTTGTGATCCGCCTGCCTTGGCCTCCCAAAGTGCTGGGATTACAGGTGTGAGACACTGTGCCCGGCCGAAATATGTTTTTCTGACATGGCTGGTCCTGAACCACTCTGCTCTGCCTTATGCCATCAAACAGCACCTTCCAAACATGGATCTTCCTCATATGTGCACAAACACATAGACTGATAGACATCTTGCTTTAATCGGACATAGAAATTTATGGCCGGGCACAGTGGCTCACACCTGTGATCCTAGCACTTTGGGAAGCTGAGGTGGGTGGGTCACCTGAGCCCAGGAGCTCAAGACCAGCCTGGGCAACATGGTAAAACCATGCATTTTCTTTACAAAAAAAATATAAAAATTAGCGGGGCATGGTAGTGCATGCCTGTAGTTCCAGCTGCTTTGTGATGTACTTGAAGGCCTGATGGCTGGGGGTTGGGCTGCCAGATTCCCAGGCCAGGAATGGGGACTTGTGGTGCCTTTTCTGGGTGCCCATGGTCACCCATGGGCCAATCGGTATGCACTTCCTCCCTCTGGAGGTCCATAAAACCTATGGGCCCAGCCAGAGGAGGGCAGAGGATGGAGAGATGACTGAATGACCAGGTGAAAAGAGGAGCTACCCTCTCTGCGGAGACTGGGAAGATGACGGGATGAACAGCTGCAGAGAGGAGCTACCCTCTCCAGGGCCTCCTGTCTGCTGAGAGCTGCAGATGTTGGGACAACCAGCTGCAGAGAGGAGCTACCCTCTTTGCTGAGAGCTGAGTCTCAGTCAGGGTGACCTGCCTGCAGAGAGAAGCCTCCTCTCTGCTGAGAGCTGCAAAGATGATGGGACGACCTCCCTACAGAGATGAACCACCCATTCCAGGGCCTCCTTTCTGCTGAGGGCTGAACACTTGATGGGACGACCTGCCCCACAGAGAGGAGCTACCCTCTCCAGGGCCTCCTGTCTGCTGAGAGCTGCAGAGATGATGGGACGACCTCCCTACAGAGATGAACCACCCATTCCAGGGCCTCCTTTCTGCTGAGGGCTGAACACTTGATGGGATGACCTGCCCCACAGAGAGGAGCTACCCTCTGTGGGTCTCTTCTGAGCCGTTCTGTCACTTGATAGAGCTCCTCTTTGTCTTGCTCACACTCTGTCTGTCTGTGTACCTTTCTTCCTGGATGCAGGACAAGAACTCAGGCAAAAGTGCCAGCAGCCACAGGGGTTTCCAGCCAGAAAGATGACACCCCAAAGATCTCATAACAATAACAGAAGGAAAAAAAATAGAGAAAGGAATGGAAGAAATGTTTGAAACAATAATGACTGAGATTTTCCCCAAATTAATGTCGGACACCAAACCACAGATCCAGGAAGCTCAGAACATCAAGCAAGATAAATGCCAACAAAGCGAGACCTCATCTCCTGAAAGGTCCTCACTTTCTGGGAGACACAGATCCCCTCCTGGAAGAGGCCCATGACCACATGGCAGGAGTTCCCTTCCAAGACTGCCAAGCACCTGTAGCAGTGCAGACCATGAGCTGTCTCCATGCACAGCACGGCCACCAGCAGGACCAGGGCAAAGGTCTTCATGGCATAGAAACTGCTCATTCTTTCTCTCTTGCCAGTCATTTAGTTTTAAGAAACTAAAATTTGTTCTTAGTTTTGTAACTTAAAAAAAACTACAAATAAGCCAGTGCAATTTCAGCAAACATGTTGTCTTAGTACATTTTCTGATGCTATAACAGAAGTGGATTGGATAATCTAAAAAGAACAGAGATGTATTTCTTATGGTTCTGGAGGCTGGGAAGTCCAAGGTCCAGGAGTCCACATCTGGCAAGGGCCTTCTTGCTGTGTCACCCCATGGCAGAATGCACAAAGACAAGAGAGCCCATGTGCATGAGAGGGGAAAGGAGCCTGAACTCATCCTTTATAAGGATTTCACTCCGGTGATAATGAACTCACTCCTGCAATAACAGCATTAATCCATGTATGAGAGCAGAGGCCTCGTGACACAATCAGTTTTGAAGGGTCTTACCTCCCAACACTGTTGCATTGGAGATTAAGTTTCTACTACATGAACTTTGGGGGATACATTCAAACCATAGCACATGTGTTTTCTGCTTTCAGAGTAAGAGAAGTTTAATAAGTAATATTTATAGTTAAAAACATCAAACACAGTGAAACCCCATTTGTACTAAAAATACAAAAATTAGCCAGGCATGGTGACACATGCCTGTAATCCCAGCTACTCAGGAGACTGAGGCAGGAGAATTGCTTGAACCTGGAGGCAGAGGTTGCAGTGAGCTGAGATCACTCCACTGCACTCCAGCCTGGGGGACAGAGTGAGACTCTGTCTCAACAACAACAACAACAACAACAACAACAATAAAATCAATGCAGTATAATTACCAAATATTAGATTCTAGAGTGATCTGTGACTCTGCTACGCCAGGACAGTCTAGATGAGGTCAGATCTTGACAGAGGGCTTTTTGGGTGGTAATCTTGCAGAAGGGTGGTGGGGAGGTGGAAAGGGGAGTAAGGGGGAGGGTGGTAGCAGCAGAGGGAAAGGAACAGAGACATGGAGAGACACAGGGTTGCATGGTTACTCAGAGATGGGAAGGTATGAAACCCAGCACAGACTGCACATCTGGGTGGGACACGGACACCCAAACTCCGTTCGCTACTCCCCCCTCCCACAGCCTGGACTGGAATCAGATCCTTACCTGGGCACAGACACTGGTGATAGGAGAGGACATGCAATCTGGCTGCATGCCTGGGACCTTGAACCTCACAACTGTCTGGTTCTGAGAGCCCAAAGACTCCAGGCAGCAGTGCTGGAAGCAGGGCCAGAAGGTGCAGCTGGAGCCACAGAGCCGGGTCTGGTTCAAGTCTAGGATGACACCGTCATCACAGCACTGCTCCAAGGGGTTGTAGATCAACTCCCCACACCTGCGTGCTGGCTGGCATAGCCACAGTCTAGGATCTGGAAGAGTCAGGGCTGGATGGGCTGCAAGGACCAGCCTAGGACCACCTCCCCACCAACCTTAGTGCCGTTCTCTCCTCCCTCACTGCATCTGTTCTCACCTGTGACTCCTTCTGAGTTTGAACCCAGAAGTCCAAAAATGAAGATGGCAGCTGAGAAGCAGAAGGGAAGGGAGAGTGATTCTGAGGTCACTCGGTCCTGACCATGGGGCACAGGATGATGTCTCTGGGCTTCTTTGGTCGCTGTGACAGCTCACAGTGCAATTTGGGACTGGCTGTGGGTGCAGGTCCTGGGGACTGGGGTGGCAGGTGAGGAAAAGCAGGGAGGGCTCCGGGAAGAGTAAAGGCTTCTGGGATTTGCAGTTCAGGAGACAGATTACAATGCAGTCACTGATGACATAGCGGTGATTATGAGGTGGGACACCAATAATTAAGTAGGGAAGAGAGAATTAACTTTGAAGTTCAGAAATAATTAGGGATGCGATATCATTAGGGATGAGCTTAGCCTAGGGCTGGGGTCTCCTTACCAAAGGAGGGCACCATGGTTGAGACTTCAGAGCAGCGGATGAGGCAGCAGCAGTGGAAATGGATCAGTGGCTTTGCGTAGGGGCTTATATTACCGACATTTAGGGACGTGTGCAGAAGGAGTGGCTTCTTGGGAAGAGCAAGGCATGAAGAGCTGTAGGGCAAGGAGATAATCAAAAGCGTTAGTAAGAGGCTCCTGGACTTCTTCCAATGGCTGCTGCGTATCTGAAGAAGTCAAACTCTTCAGATCATCAGGGTAAAAGCTACCCAGGAACCTATTTAAGCTTTGACTCTGCTGAGTGTCTTTTTGAACACTGCCCAAGGGAAAACCGCTTGGAAGATACTCCTTAACTCTTGCTTATCTGAGAGCAAACTACTCACCAAACGCCGGCTGTCTCTAGGCTCCCCATATTCCTCCACCCTGAAGTTTCAAGGGGTCCCTCTACTCCCTGTCTCAGTCCACCTCCAGACCTGCACTGTCTATAATTTTTCAGAGTCACGTAGGGGAAATTGTGAAGTTGCAGCATAATCTAGAAAAAGAACAGAGGCTGCAAAACTGTGCCTGGGAGCACAACAACAAAAATAGGTGGTGGTAGGATGGACCTCTGGGATTCATAGAACAGATAGGAAAGCAGCACCTTTTTTTTTTTTTTTTTTTTTTGTTTGTAGAGTGCCTTGTCCAAGAAAATACTCCCATGTGTGTCGCTATTATTTTGTTGTCACCAGCACTGTGATTTGTGTGATGGGATTACATGTGGGGTATTAGTAGAGCATGCCCCTCCATTTTCCACTGGTTTCTTCCCTGTGTCACAGTGAGAAGGGTGGGAGGGTGAAAGAGGGATAAGCAGAGGTATTAGAGCTTTGTAAAAGTGCATTGTTAGTGTAAGAGTCTCTTCCTCCTCCCTCCTCTCTCTCTTTCTCTCTCTCTCTCTTTTTTTTTTTTTTTTTTTTTTAAAGACAGGGTATTTCTCTGTCTCCCAGGCTGGAGTACAGTGGTGCTATCTTGGCTCACTGTAACCTTTGCCCCCCAGGCTGAAGCCATCCTCCCACCTCAGCCTCTTGAGTAGCTGGGACCACAGGTATGCACCACCTGGCCTGGCTAACTTTTTGTATTTTTCATAGAGTTGGGGTCCTACAATGTTCTGGTCTCGGAATCCTGAGCTCAAGCAATCCACCTGCCCCAGCCTCCAAAAGTGCCGGGATTACAAGTGTGAACCATCGTGCCTGGCCTCTCTCTCCTCTCTTAATTGGATGTCCAATTCTTCGGTATTGATTGACGCAATAAACTCGCTCTCCTCGCCTACTTCTGCAGTTGTGTGTTTGCATAGATATGCCTGTTTGTCTACTTATCAATATGCCTTCTTTCCCACACATCCAAACAGAAATCCCACCTGTAAGGACACATTCTCTCACCTACACAGAACAGCTGCTGAGGAAATAGACCTGTAAGGACCACACTCCTGTTTGCCAAGTTAAGTAGTGTGAATACTGCATTATAACTCGGAGCCAGCAACCAAGGAATTTATGACTGCTTGAAAGGGAAAGTCCCCAATGAAGAGTATGAGTGACTAAAGAGGAAAATCCCAAACGGGTTACTAGAATTGATCTCTGTATAATTGAACTATCTATGTAGAAAATCCCATGGAGCCCACTGTCAAGCAAGAGGTGAGTCTGATTCTGCTAGTGACAAAAGCAAGCTCTTTTTAGATCCAGACACTTTATTACCTACACAGACAGGGAAAGGAAGAGTAGCCACAGGTGCCAGCACCATGTCCCTTGCACAGGGTGACACTGAAACAGAAGGGCCAGATGACTGAACAAGAATAACAGGATGCCTGTTGCTGAGTAGAGAATCCAGCCTGTGGCTCCATGGTATAGGGAGGTAGCCATAATTCCCCTGGGAACATAACTCCATTGTCCTGGGGACCACACCCCCATCCGCTATAGCAGCCACAGCAAGTCCCCCCCAAGGAGATTCTGAGCTCAGACACGCCTAATGCTGCACCCACCTGATGGCGTTTCTCTATCGGCCCTGGGAGCAGAAGATAAAGGACACAATCTCTTGGGCACTCCATGGCTCTGCCCATCACCTGAAAAACCTGAACACTTATTAAAAGGTGACCCTAGGGCAAGTTTGTATCCTCCCTATACAACCACAGCTGATGTGCTCTTAAAAGTGCCACCTCCTGGCTGGAGGCCAACCAACACAAAACCAGCGCACTTAAAAAAAAAAAACAACAACCGAGGACCCTCACAGAGTCCACTTCACTCTCCTGCTACCTCCACCAGGGTAGGTGCTGGTATCCATGGTTGAGAGACCTAAAGACAGATCACATTATGCGACTCTTCACAGACGCTCCCCAGTACCAGCCCGGAGCCCTGTAGCTCCACTGAGTGGCTAGATCCAGAAGAAAAATAACAATCACTGTAGTTTGGTTCTCAGGAAGCCCCATCCCTAGGGGAAAGGGGAGAGGACCACATCAAAGGAGCATCCCTCTCCAACAAAAGAATCTGCAGAGCAGCCCTTGAGTCTCAGATCTTCCCTCTGACATAGTCTGTCCAAATGAGAAGGGAATAGAAAAACAGTTCTGCTAAATATGATAAAACAACCTTCTTTAACACCCCCAAAAGGTCACACTAGCTCACCAGCAATGGATCCAAACCAAGATGAAATCTCTGAATTGCCAGAAAAAGAATTCAGAAGATCTGTTATTAAGCCAGTCAAGGAGGCACCAGAGAAAGGTGAAGTCCAACTTAAAGAAATAAAAAAAGATACAGGATATGAATGGAAAAATCTCCAGTGAAATAGATATCATAAATAAAAAACAGTCACAGCTTCTTGAAATCCGGGACACACTTAGAGAAATGCAAAATGCACTGGAAATTCTCAGCGATAGAATCAAACAAGTAGAAGAAAGAACCTCAGAGCTTGAAGACAAGGATTTCAAATTAACCCAATCCAACAAAGACAAAGAAAGAAGAATTTTAAAAAATGAACAAAGCCTCCTAGAAGTTTGGGATTATGTTAAACGTCCAAACCTAAGAATAATTGGTGGTCTGGAGGAAGAAGAGAAATCTAAAAGTTTTGAAAATATATTTGAGGGAATAATTGAGGAGAACTTCCCTGACCTTGCCAGAGATTTAGACATTCAAATACAAGAAGCTCAAAGGACACCTGGGAAACTCATCACAAAAAGATCATCACCCAGGCGCATAGTCACCAGATTACCTAAAGAAAAGATGAAGGAAAGAATCTTAAGAGCTGTGAGGCAAAAGCATCAGGTAACCTATAAAGGAAAACCTATCAGATTAATAGCAGATTTCTCAGCAGAAACCCTACAAATTAGAAGGGATCGAGGTCCTATCTTTAGTCTCCTTAATCAAAACAATTATCAGCCAAGAATTTTGTATCCAGTGAAGCTAAGCCTCACAAATGAAGGAAAGATACAGTCTTTTTCAGGCAAATGCTGAGAGAATTCACCACTACCAAGCCAGCATTACAAGAACTGCCAAAAGGAGGTCTAAATCTTGAAACAAATCCTCAAAATACACTAAAATAGAATCTCCTTAAAGCATAAATCTTACAGGACCTATAAAACAATAACACAATGGGCCGGGCATGGCAGCTCACACCTGTAATCCCAGCACTTTGGGAGCCCAAGGCGGGTGGATCACCTGAGGTCAGGAGTTTGAGACCAGCCTGGCCAACATGGTGAAACCCTGTTTCTACTAAAATACAAAAATTAGCTGGGCGTGGTGGCAGGCACCTGTAATCCCAGCTACTCAGGAGGCTGAGACAGGAGAATCACTTGCACCCAGGAGGTGGAAGTTGCAGTGAGCCGTGTGGCTGCACTCCAGCCTGGGCGACAGAGTGATACTTTGTCTCAAAAAACAAAACGAAACAAAACAAAACAACCAAAAAACAAGAACACATGATGAACAGAATAGTACTTCACATCTCAATACTAATGTTAATGTAAGTGGCCTAAATGCTCCATTTAAAAGACACAGAACGGCAGAATGCATAAGAGCTCACCAACCAAGTGTGTGGCTGTCTTCAAGTGACTCATCTGACACACAAGGACTCACATAAACTTAAGGTAAATGGGTGGAAAAAGATATCCCATGCAAATGGACACCAAAAGTGAGCAGGAGTAGCTATTCTTATATTAGACAAAACAAACTTCAAAGCAACAGCAGTTAAAAAAGACAAAAAGGGATATTATAAAATGATAAAAGAACTAGTCTAACAAGAAATATCACAATTCTAAATATATATGCACCTAACACTAGAGCTCCCAAATTTATAAAACAATTAGTACTAGATCTAAATAATGAGATAGACGGCAACACAATAATAGTGTGGGACTTCAATAATCCATTGATAGCACTATACAGGTCATCAAGGCAGAAAGTCAACAAAGAAACAATGGACTTAAGCTATACCCTAGAACAAATGGACTTAACAGATATTTACACAACATTCTATGCAATGACTGCAGGGTATACATTCTATTCATCAGCACAGAGAACATTCAGAAATAGCTTAGACCATATGATAGGCCACAAAACAGGTATAATATATCTCAACAAATTAAAAAAAATCAAAATTATATCAAATACTCTCTCAGACCACAGGGGAATAAAATTGGAAATCAACTCCAAAAGGAATCTTTAAAACCATGCAAATACATGGAAATTAAATAACCTGCTCCTGAATGATCATTGGGTCAACAATGAAATAAAGATGGAAATTAAAAAATTCTTTGACCTGAATGATAATGGTGACATAACCTGTCAAAAGCTCTGGGATACAGCAAAAGCAGTGCTAAGAGGAAAGTTAATAGCATTAAATACCTACATCAAAAAAGTGTGAGCCTGGCCAACATGGTGAAACCCCATCTCTACTAAAAATACAAAAATTAACCAGGTGTGGTGGTGTGTGCCTGTAATCCCAGCTACTTGGGAGACTGAGGCAGGAGAATCGCTTGAACCCGGGAGGCGGAGTTTGCCGAGAGCCAAGATCGCACCATTGCACTCCAGCCTGGGAAACAAAAGCGAAACTCTGTCTCAAGAAAAAAGAAAAAAAAGTCTGAAAGAGCACAAATAGACAATCTAAGGTCACACTTCAGGGAACTAGAGAAACAAGAACAA